CAAGGGGCCACGGCTCCTTTTCCTGGGCTAAGCTGGAACCCATGCTCACCTCCGTCCGCTGGGTGCTGGGCTGGTGGGCATTGAGGATGGGGGCCACTGGGGGCAGCCCCTGGCCAGGAGCCTGTCGCCGGAGCCGAGGGGTCGGGAGACTATAGGACAGGGTCACCACAATGGCCCGAAGCTTGTCTTTGACATTCTCCTGGGAAGCGAAAAGACAGGCGTGGATACAAGAACAACCCCCAGCCCCAGCCCTGCCCAAAGTCCCAGCCAGACCTGAGACAGATCCCGAAATTCGGAAAGAGGCTCAGGGAGGTGCAGGAGAGAGGTGAGAACTGGGCAAGGAGGAGGGAGAGCGACTGGGGTGGAGATGGGAGGAGAGCAGGGCTTTGAGAACCAGACGTGAAGACTCAACCTGCTGTCACCATCTGCAGGGAGGACCGAGCTTAACAGGAGAGGCAAGAAGGCAGCGGTTGGTGGGTGGGGGTGGTCAGCTCAATAGGGAGCCTTCCCCAAGGTCGAGATCTTAGAATGAGGTGTGCGTGTGTTAGGGAAGAAGCTGAGAGGAAAGCAGGAAGAAAGAGGATGTGAGAGTGACCCTCAGGGGCCAAGGGGGCAGCGTGCACCTGAAGCTGGAGCGTGGTGTCACCACAGACTCGGTCATGCTGGCGTTTCAGCCACACGGTGCCTGAGGCCTGGTGCTTAGGGTCATCCGGGCCACGGCTCAGGAAGGTCACACGGGGGACCTGGCCCCGGAGCCTCCGGTCTGTGTCCCCATCTAACGTGTAATCCAGGGCTGTGGCAGGTGGGAGAGGAGGAGCCAGTGAGCTGGGGAAGGGCTCCAGTCGGCCCTTCCTCCACCTCGGGGGACGCACCGGGAGACCCAGTGGGGTGGTGGTGGAGGGGCCTCACTCACCCACAACAGGGCTGTAGCTGCTGGGCGATGCGACGTAGCTGAAACAGACCCTTAGGTCCATGCTGCAGGGACAAAGGCGAGGCTGACAGGCCACGGTCCCACCTCGACCCCGCACACTCCTGCCCCAGCCCCAGCCCCAAACTGGGCAGAGAAAGGGAGCTGGAGGTGCAAGACTGGACCCTGGAGGCTCCCCTCCGCCCTCCCCTGGGATCCCACCTCACCAGACTGAGTGGCCGCCAGCACAGTTGGGCTGTTCTAGGTCGATGGTTCTCGGAAGGATAGAGACCTCGTGGGAGACGTGGAGGACAGGCCTGGCCCTGGGGAATGGGGAGTGGAGGGCACAGGAGGCACGAGAACTTGAGGCTGGGAAAGCGGGGAGGTGGTGGACTCTCCAGCAGCAGAGCTGGCCTGGGGCGGGGAGGACGGGGAGGGGGGTGCTCCGGGCCTCGGGGAGAAAGACGACAGAGCAGAAGGAGGGCTCACCTGAAGAGCACAGCTGTGTCGGCCAGGGAGCCCACCAGCAGGTCCGGGTAATGGTTCCCATCCACGTCCAGGCCGCCCGACAGCGAGTAGCCAAAGCTCTTTATGCCCACGGCCTCGCCCTCCAACACCTGCGGGGCCAGACCGTCGGCCTCCCACCCACCACCCCCGGGCCTCTGCCTCCCCTGCCGCTGCGGCCCGGCTGCCTGCCCCACCCACGCCCGTTCCTGGTCCCGCCACTGCCCTCACCTGGGAAGCTGTGACGACAAGCCCCAGGCTGCTCCCGTGGTAGATGAAGACTTTCCCATCCCCATCGAAGGGAGCCCCCACGGCGATGTCTGCGGGAGCAGGAGAAAGGCAATCAGACCTGGGGGGGCAGGGGGCAGGGGGCAGAGAGGCACAAGGTCCAGGCCCCAGCTTTCCCTCAGTCACTCAGCTCCATGTCCTGTCTTCCCGATCTTCCTGAGCGGCTACTAAGTCCTGGGCGCCTTACACGCATCACGTTCAGTCCTCTCAGCTACTCTCTGCAGATAACGCTAGCTCAGAAGGGGCACCTGCCCAAGGTCACAAAGCTGCCCAGGTGTGAGCCTAGGCTGCTCCCCTCCCTGGGCCCTCAGAGGACCTTCCTCCTGACCTCAGAGGTACCTCCCCACCCCTGCCCTGCCCCCTCCCTCCCCTGAGCCTCTCCCGGTCCCAGTCACACCTGGGAAGCCGTCTCGGTTGAGGTCCCCCAAGACAGCCAGGCTGATCCCAAACATGGAGTCGGGGGAGCCGCAGAGCCGGAGAGGGGAGACCCCAGCCCAGTGACCCCCCTGGTTCATATACACATACACGGCACCCCCTAACTCTTCTTGGCGCTCAAAGAAGTAGGGGGCACCCACTATCAGGTCTGTCCAGCTACGGAGAGAGGAAGACAGTCAGTGTGGGGTCCTTCCCAGCCTGGGGAGTCAGGAGGAAAGGCCAGAGGCCCCTCACCCTTCCCGGACCCAGCCTCCCCCAGGCTCCACTTCCCTCGGCCCTCTCTCACCCATCATTGTTGAGATCAGCCACAGCCAGTGAGTAGCCAAAGCCGGAGGTCAGGCGCTCCCCAGACAGTGTAACTTCGGGCACCAGGCGGCTGGCACTGTCTTTGCGCAGAATGACCACAGCACCCTTGTGGTTGGCACGAGGGGCCCCTGCCACAAAGCTCAGCTCCTCTGCTCGCATCAGCGCCTTCCCCGAGTCAATGGAGAAACCTGAGTGGGGGCGACCCACTAGTAAGCGCTCCCCCACCCTGCCTCTCTCCGAGCAGGTTGGAGCCAATAGGTGGAAGGCGCCTGCCAAGGTATCCCCACCACGGCTGCACCACTCCTCCTCCCCTCTGGAGGCCTGGCAGCCCTCCCCACCCAGATACTGGGGGCTGGCACAAGGGTTGCGGTGAGGTCGGCCTCAAGGACTGGGGAGGAAGGAGAAAGGCCACTGAGAAGGCCAAGGAGCTGGGCAGGGGGCTGTGGCACTGGCAGGAGCTAGGGCAGGTCGCCTCCCATATGATTCCCAGGGAACTGCTCTACCCTCTGCACACTCAGGAGGCCCCCATTCCATCCAATGCACCTTCCTTGCCCCTATTCCCACCATCCAAGCAGGGAGAGAAAGTCTTCACATGGATGGGAGGGGGGAGACATGGGGGAGTAGGGGAGAACCTGATTCACCCAAACATCTCCCGGGCTTCATTTCCTCCTCTTCTGCAGAGGGATGCAGATGAGACAATGAGAGGGACTTACCAACACAGCTGGACCTGTCTGCACACGTGCCCACCATCCCTCCCTCAGAGGAAGGCCCCCAGAGGTCTAGCTTCCTTCCTTCCCGGGACAGTCCCACCCACCTGGACCTTCCTCCAGAGACCCCGGTCACAGCCCCCTAGGCTGTCACCCCTGGGGCCTCTTCTCCTCCATCCTGGTTACTGGGCTCAGCTCTTCTCTGTAAGTTGGGCCCAGTGGGTATTTCCCTGAAAGTGTGCTGTTGTGGGGCAGGGCAGGAGAGGAGGGGAGGCCAGGCCAAGCCCCCAGGGCCCAGGAAGACGTGGAGGGGCGCTTACAAACCTAAGTAGCTATTCAGGGCCAAGTCTCCGGCTGGTCCTGGAAGCCGGTCAGCAGGGTCCAAAGTTTTATACACCAGCTGGTCAGGGTCTGAGCTATCAATGTTGGTCACAAAGAGCAACCCTGCGGGGGATGGGGTGGGGGTGGGGGGAGACACCAGGGAGGGACATCCAGGGAAGAGGCCACAGAGTGGAGAGACAGAGGCAGGCAGAAAGGCAAGGAGAAGGTAGAAGAGGAAGAAGTGGAGAAAGAACATGAGAGAGACAAAGAGACCAGAGAGATAAGAATCAGAGACAGAGAGACAGAGACAGAGACAGAAGGATGGGAGCGTGGAGAGGGAGGATGAGAGAAAGAGGAACAGAGGGTTAGAGCAGCTCTGGGCCGGGGAGGGGTCCCTACCAAAGTAGCTGTTGGCAGGGACCGGGATGAGGCGGGGGTCCTGCTCCTTCTCACCCCCCGCCTCGTAGGGCCCGTCGTCCAGATGTGCCAGGTCCGCTGAGCCCTGTGCACAGAGCTCCACCCTGGCTGTGCCTGCAAGGACAGATCTGTTAGTGCCCGGGGCAGGAAGTGAGGTGCACCCCCAGGCCGGATGTTAGACAGGCCCCCAGGGAAGCCCCTCCTCTCCTTTCCAGCCCTGTCTCCACCCCCTCCCGGCCCAAGCTGCCTGGGGTCCCCCAGACTTGGCATCACACTCACCGAGTGTCAGCCTGGCCAGCGGCAGCGTGCAGAGATGGGAATGGGAGTGATGAAGGGTGGGCTGGTGTGTTGGAGCATGCGCGCCCCGGCAGGGCAGGTGCCCAGCGGTGGATGTGGGGACTCGTGCCAGCCTGTTGCAGAACACTCAGCCATGCGAAGGAGAGGAGATAGCCCCATTCGTGAATGTGTGTATACTGGCATGACGGTGGTGGGAGGCGTGGCAGTGAACTTGTGGGCATGCTTGGCACCGTGCTGCCCCCAGTCCCCTCTCTGAGGTACTGGGACATTTTGGTTCCCTTCTCCCCTCCCCCAGGTGTGACTCACCCTTCCAGTTATAAGTTCCCGGGGCTCCAAAGAGGAGGTAGTGGCTGTCTGGAGAGAAGGCAGCGGCCGTGCCCTGCTGGCAGAACCCAAACTGTTCGTGGCCCTGCGGGCGCCCCTCACAGAACTTCCACTCCCCACCATCCAGCTCGTCATGGATGGCCAGGTCTTGGCTTAGCACAAAGCAGCGACCAATCACATCCCTTGTCTCCAGGATCTGGTCCACTCGCTGACGCGACTCGTATCGGTGTGCACAGGTCTGTGCGAGGAAAGGAGCCGTCATTCTAGTGCATGGGCTGGGGACCTACTTGACCCACATACACACATGCACATGTTTGGCAGACACTGGTTTGTGTGCACACATCCACACACTCCTCTGCCAGCATCACTTGGGTACCACTACCCAGCCAGTGTTAGGCAGGTATATACAGGACCCCCATCCTACCCTGTCTGCACCCGCTTCCCAGCCCTGGAGGGAGAAACCCTTGCTCCACGTTCTGCCCGGCTGCCCACAGCACAACGAAGCCAGCACACAGAACTCGTGCCTCCTTGATCCCGCCAGATGAGACAATCCCCAACGTGCCCAGCTTGGTCCTGCCTCTAACCCTTTCCAAGTGCCACCACCTCATCTGCAAAGAGCTTCCTTCCTTCTCCACTCTCCAAGCATTGCTTATTCTTGAAATCCTGGCTCAAATCACCCCCACCTGCAGGAGTCTTTTCTCTCCTTTCCTCCCTCGGACTTTTATAGACTGGGGACTGTACCACTCACTTAACATTAACCACGCTCTGCCCCGTAGTGACTTGTATTATTGTGTTTGTGCGTGTTAGCGATGACACAGAGAAAGAGAGAAACAGACACAGAGAAAGAGAGAATGAGAATCTCTGCAGCTAGGCAGCAGGCTAGCTGAGGCACGGGCCAGGCTTTTCCCTGTGTTCACCTGTCCTCTCTCAGCAACTAGCACAACACCTGAGTTTGACAAATGAGTGGATGAATGAGCAGTTAGATGTTTTTAAATTTATAAGGACAGGGACTGTGTCTTATGCTTTTTTATATCTCCCTGAGGTCCTGGGAACCAGACCATCACACCGTATGGCCAACCTGAGTTCTGTAAGCACATCTGTGTATATACACACTACACACACACACACACACACACACACACACACACACCACCCTTGCATACAGGCAGAAGATGTACTCACCGCAATTATATTACTATTACAGAGTCAAACTATTTCTCCCTCTTTTTAAAAATTAACTTTTGTGACTTTTTTCAATAAAAATGGTAAATATTAAAAGTGAAAAAACCTGTAGTACTCACAACAATCTTGCCCCCAGGCCCCTGGCTCCGAACACTGACTCCCAACCACTGGTTCTCCTTACTCTCCTTCTGCACATCCGCTAGAGGCAGGATTCGGGGAATTAGGGGAGGGGAGTGGAGGGGCCTCCCCTCCCCCCGTCATGTGCTTCCCCCCACCCGACCCCCACAAGGCCCTCACCTCCCCGGTCGATGTCCACCCTGGAGCAGTCAGTCTCCTCCAGGCTCAGGGGGCAGGCGAAGAGTCCTCCGGTGCGATTCGCCTGCTGCCCAGGCAGAGCCAGAGCCTGGGGAGCGCCCGCCAGCAGCCTGCGCGATGGGGCAGGAGTTAGTGGCCGGAGCCCTTCACCTCCCCAGAGCTGCCCAGGCCCAGCTCCTTGGTACCAGGCAGAGTGTTGGAGGACTCAGGAAAAGGGCCAAACGTCAGTTTTCCCATGTCCTGGTAAGGGCAAATTAGTACACTTGGCCATGCAACCATCACATTACGTACGCACATATTATCTCGATGAGAGACCACGTACATGGTATACACACACGCACGCACACACATACACACACACACACCCCAACTCAAGTAGCCTGGCCAGCACTGCTAGTTTGAAAGAACCGCCTGTTCCCAACACCTGTTTCTGACCAGGCCTTCCCTACCCACTCCCTGGCCCCATCCCCAAGCTCTGCCCTCCTCCTCAGCCATGGGTCAGTTGAAACCTTCCCAGAAATGCCAAGAATGCTGGGAGCAAAAGTAACAGGAGCCCAGACTGGCACCATAAGGTGGCCTAGGAACCAGCTTTGGAAGCCAAGCAAGAGACTAGAAATGGCTCTGCCTCCCCCACCCCGTCATCGGGGGCCCATCAAGGACTCACCCAACCACCAGCAATCCTGCCGGCCCAGGATTCTATCGGTCATTCCGGCTGGCATGGAGGTAGGGGCAAGTGCCTCCATTCCTGCCCATTCTCCCCCCACATCCTGAATCCCCTTCCCCATCCTCCCTTCTCCTCCCCATGTCCATGATTTTCCCCACTTCTCCCACCCACCCTGCCCCCACCCAGTCTTCTCTCCTACCTCCCCCTCGGACGCTTTCCCAGATACAACTTTCTTGGCAGGACAATTTTCCATGATCACAGCCAAGTCTTCTTCCCCAGGGAAGGACTGTGCTGGGAATGGAGGCTGCCTGGGTCCCCTAGGGCTGAACCCCTGGACCAGGAGTGAAGGAGAGAGTGAGGCAAGGTGACAGGCACCTAGCTGGCTACAAGGATCCTCTCTTCATAGAGGAAGAGACTCAAAGCGGCAGCAGAGCAAACCCCAAGGCCTCTCTCCTACACTCTTTCCCTCCGTCTCCCTTGCTGAGGGCCAAGGACCAAAGCTGTGCAGGGCAATATTGCAGACAGGCATTCACAGGGCACCATGCCAGTTCTGATGGGGCACAGAGCCATTCTCCCTTCCCATAACTCCTTTCTCTTCGCAGCTGTCATCCCATGTCAGAGCCAGTGTCAAGAGAGAGAAAGGGGTGGGAAGTTCAAGGGAAGAGAGCAGACACTGGGCACTCATTCACAACTATTTATTGAGAATCTATCACCTGCCGAGCCCTGTGTCAGGCACTGATGAGACAAGGAAGTAATATTTAGTCAGCACCTACTACGGTCAGACCCAGCCCTAGGCTAGATGCCAGGGATATGAGGAACTAACGTATAAGACTCTCTACTGACCAGAAATTGACACGACATTGTAAACTGACTATACTTCGATTAAAAAAATAAACAGGTTCTCTACTGGGTGCCGGGCACCAGGCCAGGCAGGTTACCTTCACCAGCTCATTTAACCTTCACAACAATCCTATGTAAGGATTCTTCTCCTGTCTTTCAGATGAGGAAACTTGCCCAGAGACATTAGTAGTATGCTAGAATTCAAACCTACATCTGCCTAACTCCAGTACCCGTGACTTTTCCACCACACTCAATGACTGGCCACCTCCAGAAAAGGGAGACGGGGATGGGGAGAGGAGGGTACCCTGAGCAGAAGAAGAAACTGAGTGGCATGGCCAACCTTTGGACAAGTCTGCAGTGCCTCACCTCCACACACAGGAATGGTGACCCCTTGGAGGACCGGGACTGTCTTATTCATCTTTGCACTTGCCCCCTGGGAGGTGTCTGGATGTGTTCACTGAACCCGCACATTATGTAGGCTCACGGAGGCAACCAATGCCTCAGCTGGTCTGTGCATAACTAAGTACCAGGAGAAGTGAACAACCAGTGCTCAGTGCTCACATCTCCCCTGGAGATCACGAGCTGGGGTCGGGCTGGGGGATGCACCTGGAGGAGAGAAGCTGAGTGCATAGCTATGCCCAGCCCCACGCAGTGGAGAACAGAACAGACCATGCCTCCTGGAACAAGAGTTCCCACATGCAGCCACTCCAGTCCCTCCACCTCTGCCCCTGCCACACACTCCTTCCTGACTTCATCCCACGGTCCTCGCCACCCCAGGCCTCTGGACAGGACAGTAGCCACAGCTGCAGCCACTGCAGAGAGAAAGACAAAGACATGCTGGCAGCTGGGAGCAAGGGACTCCTTGGGAGCCTGGCTTAGTGGAGGCGAAGGAGTAACCCACTACCTCGGCACCTCTCACCTTCCCACACACTCCAGCCTCCGATCCAGTCCAGCCCTCTCTGACTCTCAGTCTGGGTGGCCCTCTGGGGAGGGTGCTCTGCCTGGAAGGTTGGCTCAGCCCAGGGGGTGCTCTAGCCAAGCCGTTGGATCAGGGCTCACTGTAAGGCACTAAAGCTACTCTCCAGCTCCATGGATCACTACACAAGAATAAAAGTACCAGCACTGTCATAGCGCCCACTACAGGCCTGTGCTATTCCCAGCATTTTCCATATATTAAGAACTCTTTCAATGCCCACAACTCTATATGGTTGTACTATTGTTCATCTCCATTTTACAGTTGATGGAAATAAATGAGGCTGAAACCACAGCGCAAAGAAGGTTAAACTTCAAAGTCTCATCCCGGGGCCAGATCGAAAGACATCAAAATAGGTAAGGTTTTCAATCAGCAAATTCTGGGGCAGGTGAATTGCAACTCCAAAGCCCGGGGGCTTAGCAAGGTACCTGGCCTCTCATGTGCCACCAGATAGCGGAGTGCCCCCTGCTGGAGCAAGAACAGGGTGAGGGGGTCAGGCCCCTCTGGGAAAGCCCCAAGCTTGGCTCTGGGAGACAGAATCAGGGGCCACCTTCAGAGATGAAGGGGAAATGACAAGAGACCAAGCTATTAAAAATAACCTAGAATTTGCCTGGAAATAGCTCAGAGAGTTCAGCATGTCCTAAAAAGGCCTCCAGTCCTGGAACTCTGGCAGATGCGGGGAGAGGGGGGATGGGAGGGAGACAGAGATGAGGGAGGAAGCAGAGAGAAGGCTGAAGAAGAGATGAAGTCAGTAGCTTTCTATCACTCCCAAAGTTCGGGGGACCACTGACCCTGCTCCCTAATGACAAAGGTAATGGAAGAAGAAAGATCAGAGCTAGTCCCTCCTCCCTGAACAAGGCAAGGGAAATGAGCTCTGGTTCCTACCCTCTGCCCCCAGGGCAACAGCAGTGGGGAGAGGAGAGTCCCAGTGGGTAGCACTGATCCCAGTAATGGACACTTAGTGTGGCTTAGGGTCTGGCCTAGGAGAGAAAAGCCCCCCGCCCC